GCTGGTTAATAACTGTCCAAATAAGGAGAACCATAGTTGATTTAAATGGGTACAGATGCCTCCCTATCCTAGAAAACCTTACCAGCTGAAAGGACTCTGCTTTAGAAAGACCTTTCTGAGTGACTTCTAGTTTTTTTTTTTTGTTGTTGTTGTTTGTTTGTTTGTTTGTTGTCTTTTTGAAGCAGGATCTCCCTGTAGCCCTAGCTGTCCTGGAACTCACTATGTAGACCAGGCTGGCCTTGAACTCACAGAGATCCACCTGCCTCTGCCTCCCAAGTGCTGGGACTACAGGCGTGTGCCACCATGCACGGCTCTAATTTATCTTTTTACATTATTATTATTTTTTTCTTTTGGTGTTTGGAAGCAGGGTCTCATTAGCCCAGGCTGGCCTTGCATTCCTGATCCACCTCCCAAGTGCTAGGATTACAGGCATTTAGGTGCCACCATGTCTGGATAAAGTCACTTGCAATAGAAAAAGATCAGGATCTCCCTATGTAGCCCTGGCTGGCTTGTCACTCACAGAGATCCACCTGCCATTGCTTCCCAAGTGCTGGAATTAAAGGTGTGCACCACTATATCTTTACTCAAAGCATAGGACTGGGGATGTAATTTAGTTGGTTGAGTGCTTGTCAGCATTTGCCTGTAATCCCAGATGTCATGGAGTCAGGAAGATCAGAATTCAATCTTTGACTACATATCAGGTTTGAGACCTCATTTCAAAAAAAGGAAGGAAGGAAAGAGAGAAATCATAGCATTAATTACTGCTTGGCTCTCAGTTTTGTTTTCTGTTTCCCTTCCCCAACTAGAACAGAAATCCTGAAGAGCAGAGAACTTGCTTGTACTGTGTGCACAGAGATCAGTGTCTGAAAAACTTTCTGAATAATTGAATATAAAGTCTGAAAAAATTATAATACTTTCCAGAGATAATTTTAATTAAAAAAAACATTTTATTTATTATTCTTATTTTATGTGTATATGTGTATTACCTGCATGTAGGTAAGTGCACCCATGTTGTGCAATGTCCACAGAGGACCGAAGAGGCTGTCACATCCCCTGGAACTGGAGTTATGGACAGTTGTTAGCTGCCATGTGGGTGCTGGGATTCGAACCTGGGTCTTCTGCAAGAACAGTATTCTTCACCACTGAGCCATCTCTCCAGCCCCTAATTTAATTTTCTACATGCATTTCATATTTTATGAGTAGCTATAATTACACTTTAGTTATGCTTACTCTAAAGATAAATTTTTAGATTATATTTTATGTCTAAATTTGAATGTCTTATTAAGAGTTATACTATGGTTAATTGGAGACTTTTTTATCGGTGGTGCATAAAATATGAATGTCTTAACCTGTGACAGCTTAGATTTGTATGTAAGTGATGAGATCATGGTATCACTTCTTTTTCCTACTTGAGTGTATTTCCATATAACTGTGCTTAGATCTGTCTCACTGTCAGTGCTTGATTGAGAGTTATCATAACTTGCTCTGCCGATTCTTTTTGATGCACAGTTGAAGCTTTTCCAGTTTTTTTTTTTCTTGTTGCAAATAGTGCTATATTGAATAGCCTGTAGGTATCTTTATGCACTTGAGTGGTTTCTTTTTTTATTACATTTATTTGTTTAGGTGGATGGGTGGGTGAGCCCTTGCATAGAATTCAGAAGACCACTTGTGGGACTTGGTTCTCTCCTTCTACTGTGTGGGCTCCAGACATTGAACTCAGGACTCAGGTTGGTGGCAATCACCTTTACCTACTGAGCCATCTCACTGGCCCGAAGTAGCTTTTGATTAGCTATCTGAATTGGTGGATACAGCTGTTTTCTGTCGTGCACAAGGGCACTTGTTTTTGTGTAGCATCTCAAGTATTCTACGTTAGGAAATTTCTATTTTTTGGCCAATCTGATAGAAGTTTCGATGTTTCAAGATCTTTCAGTGTTTCAATATCTTTAGTTATGAATGAATTTGAATATTTTTTCATGTTGATTATTTTTATTCTTTAATTTAATTTTTATTAGATTTCGTGTGAGTGTGAGTGTGTGTAGTACAGTGTGCTTATAGGACAGCTTTTGGGAGTCAGTTCTCTACTTGTCCTGGGAATCAAACTCAAGTCATCAGGCTTTACAGTAGGTGTCTTTATCCACTGAGTCATCTCATTGGCCCTCTTTTGCAATATGGTTTTCATAATGTGGTAGATCTTTTTTCTTATGGTGCTAGAGGTTGAATCCAGAGCCTTGCATATGCTAGGCAAGCACTGTACCACTGAGCTGTGGTACCCAGTCTCAGAACAAGGAAAGAAAGAAGGTGGGAGGTTGGGTGGGGAGGAAGACAGAGAGATAGACATGAGAACTGACCAAAGTAAAGCCATGAAGTATCTTACTAATTGTTGGGGATACCCTCGGGCATGCCAGAGCCCCTCCTTTTGAAAGGCAGCATAGATTTATATGGACTCAAGATTGGAAGAGACAGTTTGGAATACCCAGACTTCAGCACATAGTTAATGTGAGCTGAAGACAAATTTAATCTATGCTCTTTTAAGTATTTCTCTCATACTGTGGAGTTTTTAGTGTGTTTTGATTGTTAGTGTAGTAGTGTGAGGTTAGTTGTTGAGAGAGGACTCTATCCAGGGACTTGAGTAAAGTCAGTATTGGACCCAGAGGTTAAATCTATGATCATTAACAATAGTTTTTTAAATTAAAAATAAGTTATGTGTATGTGTGTATTGTCCACATGTGTATAAGTGCACCTTTGTCATATGCAATGCCCTCAGAGGTCAGAAGGGAGCATTGGCGCCTCTAGAATTATGGACTGCCATGTGAGTGCTGGGAATTGAACCTGGGTCCTCTGCAAGAGCAGCCAAATGTTCTTGTTCCTCTTTTTTTTTGAGATAGGGTCTCCCTGTAAGCCAAGCCCCAGCTGGGCTGGAACTTGCTATGTAGACTAGGCTGGCCTCCATCTCACAGAGATCCACCTGCCTCTGTGTTCCCCCCCACCCCCTTGAATGCTGGGACTCAAGGCATGCCTCACCAGCACTTGTTCACTTTTGAATGCCTTTTTTAAAATTAGACTTTATTCATTTTTTTATGTATATGAGTGTTTTGCCTGCATATATGTAGGTGTACCCATGCTGCACAGTGTTCACGGAGACAAGAGGAGGGTGTCAGATCCCCTGAAACTGGAGTTACAGGTGGTTGTTAGCTGTCATGTGGTTGTTGGGACCTGAACCCAGGTCCTCTGAGCAGTCTCTCCAGTTCCACTTTTAGTATCTTTGCTAACTCAGACCACATCAGTTTTAAAGATGGGTATCAGATAATTTCTGCCTTTTAGGTTTCACTGCAGCCTGTGGAAGAGAGATTTCAGTCCTGTGGTAAAAATGAAGCCAGGAAATAATAGAATATGGCAAGCATAGAGGAAGAGTTTGCCTGTCAGGTGTGGGAGTTTAAGGAAGGTGTGCTGGAAAAGAGATGACAACCCAAACCAAGACCTAAAGGATGAGCAAGAGATGGTTGGCACTGTAAGCAGTAAGGGAGATGGCAATGAGATGGATTTACGGACTTACATGCAGTAGGGCTTTCTCCCCCACTCCCTCCCCCCTCCCCCCTCCCCCCCTTTCTTTTTGGAGACAGGTCTCCCTGTAGCTCCAGCTGAACTGGAACTCACTTATGTAGACATGTAGACCAGGTTGGCCTTGAACTCACAGAGATCCACCTGCCTCTGCCTTCTAAGTGCTGGGATCAAAGGCATGCAACCAACATGCCCAGTAGGAATGACTTGTTTGGGTTGGAGAATTAAGCAAAAATAGCTGGATGTGGTGACACATGTCTGTAATTCTAATACCCAGGAAGCTCAGGATGGCAAGTTCAGGGTCACTCTGGGCTGCATAGTGTGAGACCCTATCTCAAAAACAAAACCATAATTAAAAATTAAAACCACAGTAATTAAGGGCCTTTCATGCTCTGCTAAAGGCCTTATATTTCAAAGGTTAAAACGGGATTATTTTAAGTAATGGCAGGTCAGATTTACAGTTTAGAGGACAAGACCAAAAGCATGGATATGGCAGGAAGCAGTTGGTAATCCAGCTGAGAATACTCAGCTCAGACCTTGTATAGCTATTGGAGGTTTTTTTGTTGTTGTTGTTTTTTTTTTTTGTCTTTTTATTTTGAGACAGGGTCTCTCAGTAGCCCCAGGTGGCCTGGAACTCACTATGTAGACCAGGCTGGCCTTGAACTCACAGAGATCCACCTGCCTCTGCCTCCCAAGTGCTGGGACTTACATGTGTGTGCCACCACACCTGGCATGGCTTGAGTTTTTTAAAGTATGTTTTTGGCATTCTGTTCTCCAGAATCCCATTGAGATTGTTTCCTGGAACTGGGCTTATTATTTTGCAGAGGTAATTTATATTAATTGTCCAGTTGCTTTTTTTCTGTTTGTAAGAAGCTTATACTTGATCTGGTCATGATAGCCCACACTTGTAATCCCAGCACTTAGAAGGTAGGAGCCAATGGACTGTGAGTTCCAGGGCTACTAAGTGAGACTGTCTCAACAACCTTTGCAGATGTTATATAACTGGTATTATGTTTTATGGAAGTGGTCAGTAATTTGGATTATTATAAACATTCAGAAGTGTTAGCACTTTTAGTGTGTTTAATGCTTATTTTTTAAAAATACCTTATTTTTAAAATTTTATGTGTATGAGTGTATTGCCTGCATGTATGTTAGTGTACCCATGTTGTGCAATGCCTGAGGAGCTCAGAAGAGGGCATTGGGTCCCCTGGAACTGGAGTTATGGATGATTGTTAGCTGCCATGTGGGTGCTGGGAACTGAACCCGGGTCCTCTGAAAGAGCAGCCAGTACTGTTGATCACTGAGCCATCTCTCCAGCCCCTTAATGATTTTATAGGGAAAGAATACTGGAATATTTTGACTTTAGGAAAAGCAGTGACTTAGTAGATTAAAAAATACCTAGTTTGTGTGTTAATTTCTTTTTCTTTCTTTTTTTTTTTAAGGCTATTAGCAAAAAATGGTGGATCGCTTGGCAAACAGTGAAGCAAACACTAGACGCATAAGCATAGTGGAAAACTGTTTTGGAGCAGCTGGTCAACCCTTAACTATCCCTGGACGGGTGCTCATTGGAGAAGGAGTGCTAACTAAGTTATGCCGGAAGAAGCCTAAAGCAAGGCAGTTTTTCTTGTTTAATGATATTCTTGTATATGGCAATATTGTCATCCAGAAGAAGAAATACAACAAACAACATATTATTCCCTTGGAAAACGTCACCATTGACTCCATCAAAGATGAAGGAGAATTAAGGAATGGATGGCTAATTAAGACACCAACCAAATCATTTGCAGTTTATGCTGCCACTGCCACCGAGAAGTCAGAATGGATGAATCACATCAATAAGTGCGTTACTGATTTACTCTCCAAAAGTGGGAAGACACCCAGTAATGAACATGCTGCTGTCTGGGTTCCTGACTCTGAGGCAACTGTGTGTATGCGCTGCCAGAAAGCGAAATTTACGCCTGTTAATCGTCGTCACCATTGCCGCAAATGTGGTTTTGTTGTGTGTGGTCCCTGCTCTGAAAAGAGATTTCTCCTTCCCAGCCAGTCTTCTAAGCCTGTGCGGATTTGTGACTTCTGCTACGAGCTGCTGTCTGCTGGGGACATGGCCACGTGTCAGCCTGCTAGATCGGACTCCTACAGCCAGTCACTGAAGTCTCCTCTAAATGATGTGTCTGATGATGATGACGATGATGACAGCAGTGACTAAGGACACGGCTGGAAATATTTAATTGGGTGTGGCTATCTGGAAAATCAGCTGTGGGGGACATATAAAATTCTTAGGTCTCTCAATCTTGCTCTAGCCTTGAATTTGCCTGAGAAACTTTTAACCTATGTGCCTCTCTACTCTCTAGAAAGTGGACCCCTTTACCTTCTGCTTCCCCCTGCACTCTTCAGGGACAAACTTGGAATTATAGCACAGAAAGTTTTGGTTTCTTATTCTCTTTTATTTCTAGATTATTTTTTTTTCAGTTGGAGAAGATGTTTATTTAACAGAACTTGTACTACATTTTTTTTCTGTTATATGGAAAACTAAAAGCACAGAATGATGGGAATAAGAGTATAATGTTATTAATATTATTATTAGTATTTTTCTAAGCATTCTGTGTTGCTTTAGATATCAGTGACAGAACATGGTTTGGAAATTCTTTGCTTCTTTTTTGAACACCAAGCGGTGCCTTACTGTGACAGCACTGTCACGTGAAATATAAGCCCTACCTTCTTACATGTTTGGTTGGTTTAAAAAATACACTGGTGCTCTCCAAGGGATGAGTGTTTGTGAATGGATGCAGCAAGGGATATTTATTTACAGCCATGAGGAACTAAATTTAGAATCATCTTCATACTATATGAATATGTATTTTTCATAAAATGGTGATATTTTTGCATCTTATAGGCACCAAATTGTAATGGTCACATATATGTTAAAAATTTGGTTTGAAATTTATCAGTAGTATAGAAGTGGCATGTTCCATTAGCTGCTTTCATAAGACATTTTAATATATAAATTCATCTGCTTTACATTATTTCTAGCAGGAAAACTCATAAAATCCTTCAAAATAAATGATCTTAAAAAAAAAAAATCCAATGATGGAACATGGATCTAATAAGGCTTGAAGATTTGTAGGCGATAGCAAGAACAGGCAAGGTGGACCACTCTGATTAGACCTCTGTCTGTGCAAGTATTGTCTATTTCATTGTGAAATTATCTTGATTTACAAATGGTGTTATATTTTATGAAGTTTTCTAAAGCCCCAAACAATTTCTATTTTTGTAAAACAACTTATTTTTAATCTGTTTCTGGAATCATTTGTGTGGAAGTAGAAGCAACAATGGGTATTTCCAAACTGTGAGCTTAAATCGCTCTAGGCTGCTCCTGAGAAGTGGCCATTCTGTTTGCTTTTGGAGGCAGCCATTCATTTGGTTGAGGCTGATTTACTGCATAAATGTGCAGTGCTCTCACTCTGTGTGCTGCAGTCAGTAACTACAGTTTTTCAAATGTGGAAAATCATCAAGCTGAAAGTTTTAAGTTCTGATTAAAAAAAAAAAAATCTTTAAATCTGGGTAATTCTGCAGATGTCCTGGGGTACTGTGGGTGTAAAATTCCTTGGTGTCTTAACATTTAGTTACAGCACTAATTTTGCTTTGCTGTTCAGTTTTGAAAGTTTCTGAGATACATAGATCTCCCTGCAGGAAATGTGAAAGAAAAGCACAACAGAGCTAAGTTTGGGGGCTTTTGTTCTTGGTTTTTGTTTTGATTGGTTTTAATATCAGCTGGATTTTTTTGCTGTTCTTGTTTCAAAGGAATATGTATGTATAATATAGTCAATCAGTCTATCTGAAAAGACTGTAAAACCAGAAAAACGCTATGGAAATGAGAGAGCTGGCACCCAGGAGAGCAGCTGCAGGAGCAAGGGGAAGGTTCTGTCAGCCTCTATTGACTGTTCCTGCAATAAAACGTACTTTGCAACCTATTTCCTGTATTCTGTGTATTGTAACTTGAAGAAATTTTTCCTTTGCTCAGATAAAAGAGATTATGCATATTTTGCCTCCGTATTCAGTAGTTGTGACTGCCAAGCATGGTTGTAGGCCCTAAGAATAGGGCAGTGAGCAGAAGTCCTATTATTTATTTTTATTTATTTATTTTTGGTCTTCTTGAAACCAGCTCTCACTGCAGCCTCTGCTGGCCTGAAACTCACTATGTAGACCAGGCTGGCCTTGAACTCACGGAGATCCGCCTACCTCTGCCGCCCATGTGCTGGGACTACAGGTGTGTGCCACCACACCCATCTTAGAAGTTCCTATTTATAACTTTTTTTTTTTTTTTGATATAAGGTCTTCTGTAGCCCAGGGTAACCTCAAACTCTGCAATGTTATGGGTAGCTCTCTATGTGACTGAGGATGTCCTTGAACTTATGACCCTCTTTCCACTGCCCAAGGGCTGAGATTACTGCCTGTGCTACCACACCCTGTTTCTGCAGTACTGGGGATAGAACCCAGGGCTCTGCATGCTAGGCAAACACTCTAGTAACTGAGCCACATTCCCCAGGCCTCTTCCACTCTTTAGTAGTTGGCCAATACAGGAATTGGCTTGATAAGCCCTATCATCTTAATTTGCCAAGAATGGGGAGAGTAGTTGATAATATTTCTTATCTTGCCATCAGTCATTGCTTTATTACGTGATTCACATGGAAAAGATAGTTGGAAAGCTTTGCTAGTATCAAATATTGTTTTCTCTCTTTTTTCTCTTCCTTTTTCTTCCCATATCTCCTCAGAAGAACACAGCACTAGAAAGTGCCTCTGGCATTCTGTGAAGAGCCTCAATCTGGTCACAGCGTTAAGAGCTTTGGGTTTAAAGCCCAACAAACCCTCTTTGAAATGACCTAATATTGAATAACTTATAAAGAAAAAGATAGGAGGGGGCTGGAGAGAGGGCTCAGCAGTTAAGAGCACTGGCTGCTCTGGCAGAGGACCCAAGTTTGAGTCAGCTAACAACTGTTCATAACTCCAGTTCCAAGGGATCCAACATCCTCTTGTGTCCTCGTGGGCATTGTATGACATGGGTGCACTTACCTACTTGCAGGCAATACACTCCTACACATAAGATTTTATATATATAGTGTGTGTGTCTTTTTGAGACAGAGTCCCTCAGTAGCCCCAGCTGGTCTAGAACTCACTATGTAGACTAGGCTAGCCTTGAACTCACAGACATCCACCTATCTCTGCCTCCTGAGTGCTGCGATCAAAGGCGTGCACCATCATGCCCGGCAAGATAAAATATTTTAAAAAAGAAAAAAAAGACAGTAATAGTACCACTCTAATCAGATGTCATATCTGCGTGCTCCTATGAGTTTAGTGTTTGGAGAAAATATTATCTTGTGCCTTTGTTAGCTTATTGAGCAGTTTTAGTAGCTTTATCAGAGACTGTATTTTCTACAGTTTACCCATTTTAGATGTTCAGTTCAGTGGCTCATATTCTTTACAGTTGTCACAACTGTTAATTTCTAGAATGGTTTTTTTTTTTTTTTTTTTTGGTCTTTTTGATTCAGTGTCTCCCCGTAGCCCCAGCCAGCCTGGAATAGACCAGGCTGGTCTTGAACTCAGAGATCCGCCTGTCTCTGCCTCCTGAGTGCTGGGTTTAAAGGTGTGCACCACCACACCTGGCTCTAGAATATTTTTATTACACCCTACCCATAAGTCACTCCCTGTTCACTCAGTCCCTGGCCTAGGCAACCACTTTCTGTCTGGTGGGTTTTTTTTTTTTGTTTTTTTTTTTTGTCTTTTTGAGACAGGGTCTGCCTGTAGCCCCAGCTGGTCTGGAACTTAGACCAGGGTGGCCTCAAACTCATAGAGCTCAGGCTGCTTCTACCTCCTGAGTGCTGGGATTAAAGATGTGTGCCACCACACCCGGCCCTGTCTGGTTGTTTTGTGTTTTTCTTTTTTGGCTGTTATATAATGAAATCATGCATTCTGTAGTCTTTGGTGACCAACTTACTTAGTATGTTCTCAGGGTTCATCTATGTAGCATTCATGAGTACGCTTTTGAGAGGTAGGATGTGTTTGTGACTGAGTGAGGGCATATGTTTGTAAGGTTCTGTTTGTAGTGCATCATTAAGCTCACACTCAGGTATATCTGAGTGGTTTTACGTGGTGTTTCCCATCTCTAGGTCTCAGGCAGACTGGCAGAGCTGCTGCTCTGTGAATATGCTCTGAAGCCTTCCCACCTCCAGCCTGCTTCCACTCCAGTCGCTGTTCCCACTTCCACCCTGCTGTTCCCACCTCAAACCCGTTTCCACTGTCTCTTCTACCATCCGCTCACTCAGCCCTGGTGTATTTGCTCTCTTCTCTCTCAGAGACCACTTTGACACCTTCCTACCTCCTCCTGAGCTGAAACAAGCCTGTGACAGTGCACTCTGCCTTACCTTATAATTATGTGATTGTGGTAGTGATTTCTTCTTGCTGCCAGCCCTTTAATACAAGTATATTGTTGGGGACCCCTGCTGTTTAGGGTAGCAGTCTCCCCATGTCCGGATAGCCGCAAGCCGGCTCGGCACAAATGGGGAGACTCCCCTTCTCAGTGGGGCACCTTCTGCTCTCCTCCCTGACTTACTTTTGAAATGCCCGTCACAAGATACATGCCCTCTGGCACAGGAGCTACCAGGTTTTAATCAGGCGTTGTCTGATAGCCTGATAGAAGCCCACCGCCCTATGTAAATAAGGCATCCTAAAAGTACCTATCAGCTAAGACTTCTTCTGCTGTCTCTACACTATAAATAGTCCTAGTTTTACCCCAATAAAGTTGGAGCTGGATCACCTCACTCAGACTCAGAGCTGGATCACCGAGACTTGGAGCCAAGCTAAGTCACTGAATCTATCCTTCCGTCATCGACCCACGAAGACCCTGCTTTCGCCGTCCCGCACCTCCCCTCGTGACCTGGCAGCTGACGGATCTTGAACCCAGAGGGAGTGCTCGGTAGATTGGGACGGAACCTGACTGGGTAGCTGACAGCGGTCCTCGAGAGCCGCCAGGCCCGGTAGCGGAGAGTCTCAGCAGACGTGGTGCGCAACCCGCCCCACGTCCCCCCAGCGGCGTGAGGGAGACCGGTGCCATGCCCAGCAGCTGGCACTCCGCGAAACCCACACGCCCATAGTATATTAAATTGCTTTATACATCAGCAGCTTACACATAAAAAGAACTTGGTAAAGTTTAGATAAATGCCTATTTCTTTTGTTTTCTATGTTTATTTTTTTAATTGGCATTCAGAGTAACATGTTTTTTTATGGTATTCCCGTGGTCCTCTTTCTAGTTTCTTGATCTAAACCCACTTGATCACTCCCATTTAATATATCAAAATTGGAAGCTTGGATCCATACATGAGAGAGAACATGCAGTAGTTCTTTTTGATCCTGGATTACCTCACTGTACTATTATCCGTTTCCATCCATTCTCTGAAAATTTCATAATTTCATTTTCTTTATGGTTGACTAAAATTCTATTGTGTATATTTACACATTTTTATTATCCCTGTCAATTGATGGATGCCCAGGCTGATTCCATTTCCTTAGCCCTTGTGAATAGAAGCAGCAGTGAGCATGGTGGTAGGATGCAGAGTCCTTTGGGGCCCAGGAGTGGTATAGCTAGGTGATATGGTCATTCTGTATTTAGGTTTTTCAAATATTATATATATATGTATATTTTTATTTTATGTGTATGAGTGTATTGACTTCATGAATGTAAGTGCACCCATGTCATGCAATGCCCATGGAGATCAGAAGAAAGCATTGGATCTCTTGGAACTGGAGTTATATACGGATGGTTGTTAACCGCCATGTGGGTACAGTGCTCTTAACCACTGAGCCACCTCTCCAGCCCATATATATATATGTGTGTGTATATGTATATATGTTTTTTAATTTTATGATGTGTATGCATGTAGGTAAGTGCACCTATGTCGTGTAATGCCCTCAGAGGTCAGAAGAGGCTGTCAGATCCCCTGGGACTGGAGTTACGGACAGTTGTTAGTTGCCATGTGGGTGCTGGGATTTGAACCTGGGTCTTCTGCAAGAACAACCAGTGTTCTTAACCGCTGAGCCATCTCTCCAGCCCCATTTTTTTTTTAATTTTATG